GTGTTTCATAGGACCCGGACCCTGCGGCGGCGGACCTTATCCAGGGCCTCCTGGAGAGGAATGTCCAGAAGCGTTTGGTCGACCCCGAGGTGCTGAAGAAGCACCCCTACTTCGCCAGCATCGATTGGGAGAAGCTCAACAGACTCGAGATCACCCCTCCCTTCGTGCCAGCGGTCAAGGGTGCGACGTCCCCTCGAGTGGCCCACTTTGCAGAATCAACCTGGTGGTCGCTGACTGAGGTGGTCACCTGATTTCTGAGCACAGGCGACGACGACACGAGCCAGATCGATCCGACCTTCACCAGGCAAAAGCCAGCGCTGTCGATCGCCGGCGAGGATGTGCTCAGCAAGACGGCCCAGCAGCAGTTCATGAACTTTACGTGGGTCGCCGACTCCGAGCTATCTCTCGACAAAGACTAAAAGTGGGAGGCGGCAAGATGGAGAGTTACCACTTGCGGCCGAGCCCTTTGATGGGAGGCAACCCAACACTACTAATAATGAGCACCACCAACACAAAGCCTTCGTCCCCTTCACCACACAAGAGCCCTCAACTCTTGGCCACTCATTGCTGAGGTTTTCCTTCCACAAAAAGCAAAACTGCTAGGGCGCTGCCCGGAATCGAACCGGGGCCTCCTGCACCCGAAGCAGGAATTTTACCACTTAACTACAGCGCCTAGCCTTATCAATAGCTGGCTCTTGGTGTGGCTGCATGGGAATGCATGCGTAAGGCATGGGGTACCAACACTCATAAAAGAACATGGCAGCTTTGCAAAAAAAGTCAAACAATGAAAAGATGGGGCGCCGCCCGGAATCGAACCGGGGCCTCTCGCACCCTAAGCGAGAATTTTACCACTTAACTACGGCGCCTATTGGTTGAAAGCAATTTCAATGGCAGAGTTCAAAAATGCTGTCACATGTGACTGAGGACTGCTACCCACACCACTGGCAAGGACAGCACCCACACCACATTTGGTGCCTTGTTTGCTTGTGTGCTTGTATAATTTGCTTCAACAAAACCATAGCAACACAAGCATCATGCCATCTTACCACTACAGCTTCCATAACTAACTTGTGGTCATTTGAAATGAGAGGTCACAAATGACTGTGGAATTTTTGTGGTGCTAAAATTGTGTGCGATTTGACATTTTTGATTTATAGGGCAGTTTTGAAGATATGGATCTGCATGTGTGATTTTGACATGCTAGACTGCTGCATATAAGTCCTATTGAGGGATTTGAGATGAAAATGATTTGATACAAACTTGGAATTTGTGGAGTTAAAAGTGATTTTATCAGTGTGGAATGGAGTGGAATTTTAACTTCAGGAATAGTGCTCCAATTCAGCACAAATGTGAAGAATGAAGTTCAGTGCATGTGTGCAACTGACTGAATATGGTGTGAGGTTGAACATGAACTGGATGTGAGGGCAGCATGTTGGCCACTGATTATGGAATTGATGGAGGGTATGAAAGCAAAAGCAAGGTGCAGTTTGAGGTTGTGCAGGCAAAGTTCTGATTTTCCAGATCTTGCAGGTGTACATGATAAACTAAGTATTGGTAGGTCAAACCTGTAGTCCTTGTGAATGTGTATGTGATAAAGTAAGTGTCTGGTTTTACAGTTTTTGTTGTTGTGTCTGCATAGGTGCAAGTCACCCTGCCATCAGCCATGGCCAACAACAAGGAACTGTTGAAGCTCCTGAAGGTGGTAACTGCCCCATTGCATACATGCTATTTTCAAAGCCCACTATGCTATGAAACTGCACCAATCACTGGCCCTCATTGCATTGTAAACAGCTGATTGCTGCTCCCACCCAGTTGACAGTCAGCCAAACTGCTGGCAGTTTCAGTGCAAAACCAGTAAGCTCTTATGAAATCCAGGTGCATCTCTTAACATCCACAAAAATATGGATGGCCGACCGTAGGGCTCGAACCCACGACCTCGAGTGTTAAAGTCTCGCGCTCTACCAACTGAGCTAGGCCAGCAACACCACACGTTCCACTCTTAATTAAAAACCAAAACAATAACAAACCCACTGACTCCCACCATGCACAAAAACACAAACAAGATTTACAGAATCTGTTTTCTTTCTCTCAGGAAAAAACAACTTCCCAAATTTATAACAAAATAAAATATTGGAGGAGAAGGGTATCGATCCCTTTACCTCTCGCATGCTAAGCGAGCGCTCTACCATCTGAGCTACACCCCCTGATTTTTGGTGTCATGCTATGACCAACGCTCCAGGGCTGCCCCTGCGTGGCCGAATCGATGTGGTCCTTACCAGAAAGGTCAAAAGAAAAGATGGGGCGCCGCCCGGAATCGAACCGGGGCCTCTCGCACCCTAAGCGAGAATTTTACCACTTAACTACGGCGCCTGTACATGCATACTCCTTCTGTGAACAAACGGAATATGGCTTTGTTGATTGCCCCTCCGCTACCTCGTACTCCTTGCTCAACGCCCGGCCTGGCGTTCTGGTTGTGGAGATTTATTGTGCGGCTGCTCGTAATAAATACAAAAAAGACGAGCAGCAAACGTACGCGTGGGTGGGTGCTGGCGTCATCACGCAAGTGAAGGTGGTGCTGGTGACGTAGCGGGGTGTGCAGACGGCGAAGCGAAGGCCACACTGGATGGTGGGTTACTCCTGGGCGAACTCCCACGGGTCCTTCTCGGCGGCGATGCTCTTGATCACGTACTCGGTGAAGTCCGAGAGGGTGACCTTGCCATCGCCGTTGGTGTCCCATTGCTTGATCTTCTCCTGCGCAATCGTGTCGATCTCCTCGTCGCCAGCATTCTTGAGCATGTCGTATAGCACGTCCTTCACGTTCTCCACATCAATCGATCCAGCTGCAAGACGACATGCATGCACCAAAGCAAGCTTCAGCGTGACAATGTAGGTAGCACAAACACAAACACCAAACGCCGCTTCACTGAAACGCCAACCGCGAGCTAGGTGCTGGCCAAAGGAGTGAGACGTACAGCCCTCCTTGTCGTAGAGGTACCAGGCGTAGACCACTCGCGACTTGC